CATAGAGGATACACAGGGACAACAACGCACTAACCTAGCCACTAGGTCTTCAGAAAGCGGAAGGAAACGGTAACAACCTCAACACACCCGCTTTGACGAGAGGAGAACGTGCGGACTCCATGTAGAAGGAGCTCCAGCCGGTGCGGTGGCGAAAGATCTGCGCCTGTGGCTGGAAGTTTGCCTGTTCGTATCCCGCGGCCGGCAGAGGAATCCTACTCCGTTGGGGCCCCTGAGCAAGGCCCTGAACCCCAGCTGCTCCAGGGGCGCCGTATAAAGGGCTGACCCTGCGCTCTGACCCCCAGCTTCTCTCCCTGTCGGTGTGTCTCCTGGAGAGCAAGCTGGGGTCTGCGAAAAGACAAATTCCTCATGCAAGAAATTGTATAGGGCTAATAAAGTGATCTGATCTTATCTAATTAAATTCAGGACCCAGCAGCGCCCATCAGCCCGTCACCATACCGCGATAGATGTCACTTATTAGCACCTCTCATAGTCTAGTACATAAATATATATTTTTCAGAATTATTTGACGAACTCTTTCAGATCTGTTATCCAAACCCTCCCAGGTGGAGTCACTGAAGCGGTTCATTCCCTGATTTATCCAGGAGGGGCGGGGGGGAGTTCGTTCAGACACTAACGAAACGCCGCACTACATTGACATTGCACTAAGAGAGGCAGGGGGCGGGGACAGGGCGTCTTCGCCCTCATAAAGCAGCGCCTTAGTGCCTTTTTTTTTTTTGCGCTCGCCTGCCCGCTATGTCACCTTCAAGCTGGTCTGTCGGCATTCGGTTTAAACGAGCAGCGCCAGAGATGAACTGAAGCAGCGCAGGCGGGCAGAGACACAAGTTGCGTCAAGTCTCTGCCCGCGTGTGATGTTTCAGTTCATCACTGGCGCTGCTCCTTTAAGTGCGATGTGTTAGAGGTAAGGGGTCATTTTCGGCAATGAGACTGGGGCGGACCGACCAAAGCATTAGGACCGGGGACTATAGTGCCAGATTCACCCCCCTACCAGCCGAACGACGCAGCGTGTCCCTCCGCGAGTTGCAGGAGCACAGTATCCCTACTGCCGCAGGGTCTCTTCCTGTCACTACGCCACCTCCAGGCGAGCGTGTGAGAAATGCAATACGAGTCTGCGGGTAATGGGGCGTGAGATTGGACTGCACGTCCCGTTGGTTTTCAATAGGATTTGAGATCTGGGTTCTTTTTCCGGCCGGGGAAGGCGATGGGAGTCTGTCTCGGGCCGTGCGAGGTCATTCGCTCTGGGGGACCGTCCCTGGCCAGACCCCTCCCCGCTATTTCACTCCTCTTTCAGAGAAACCGGTGGGTCCGGTGCGACGTGTATTTCAATCCGACGCGCCATTGCCTTCCACGACGCTTCCTCTCCTCACAAGAGCAGCAGGACTGCACAGATTTCTGAAGCTTGTGATAAACATGCCACGTCCTGCAGGAATCGCGCTTGTTGAAGGCAGAAGCGGGAGCCGGTTTGCGGAGGGGTGGGGTTCCTAATATTTTGGCCGGTTGGTGTGTTGGTAGCAGAGGGTGCATTTTGTGCACAGGTAGACGAAACACTGCCCGTGCAATGGGTCGGAACAAGGACCTGACCGAATTCGAGAGAGGGATGATAGTCGGAGCCAGGCTATGCGGGGCTAGTCTAGCTCAGACGGCCCGCAAGGTCCTGAAGTCCCGCACCACGGTCTGCCGGGTGTTCAAGGACTGGCGCACGGCGCAGAAGAGGAGCACGGACCGGTCGCGGTGCGGGAGAAAGCGGCTGGTCTCGGAAGAGGCCCGGCGCTGGCTGGCGCGGCTGGTGGAGAGCGAGTGCGAGCGGCCCTCCCTCACCATCTCGTCCATCACCGACTCCCTCAACGCCGCCCAGGCGCAGGACAAGGCGGTCTCGGCCCGCACCGTCCGCCGGGAGCTGCGGCGCCTCAACTTCCACACCAGCCGGGTCTCCCTCGTCCCGTACCGCAGGCAGAGCGACGGCGAGCCCTCGGCTCTCCCAGTGCGTATTACCCCGGTCGCGCAATCCTATTGTTTTGAAATACGAGGAGTTTTCAGAGCGAGCACGCACACACGCACACAAGTAAGAAATTTGTGTTTTACATGCAAGCCATTACTGGAGTGCACGTTCGCACACGTAGTCGTAACAGTAGTTGAATATTCACGTCACGAAAGGTTGGAGAAGACAGCAGTCGTGTTGCATAACACGGGGGCGTACAGTACTTTTACAATGGGAAGACAAAACACCCTAATATCTCCCAATGCTAGATATTTAGCGTTACAAAACAGCTATTTACAGAGAGTGAAGGCGTCTGTGTTTTATGTGTGACATGGCATAGTTGATCGATAGATTTGCGCACTCGCGTGACATCAACAAAGTTCACAGCGCAGCGATTTTTCCCGTTTTTTTTTTTGGTGGAGGAGGGCGATTAAACACATGATTTAGAGCACTTAATCCTGCGAGAAACAACCTGTTAATTCGTCTATGACGCGATCGGTAAGGAATACGCCAGCCCACGGGGTGAAAATAACTGGACTTGAGAGGTCAGTCTTCAGGAATGCGACCTTTGTCTCGGCTGAACACCAAGTCTCTTAACTCTTCACGCGGCCTGGTTTTCGTTCTATTTATGTGCTGCTAGTCTGAAGGGCTCAGCCTGGAGAAATGCGCTTTTTGACAGAAAACAAAAACAACGACTCGATTTGCAGGGCAGAAATAGTTACAGGCGTTGGTGAGAGATACTTTCATAGAATCATTACTCATTCGAGTTCGGTAAAAGAAAAAAAAACAAGGTTATTTGTGCGAGGTGAAACGCACTACGGCAGTTCTGTTTCTCATTCAGGCAAAGCAAATTTGGTATCGTGCGCATATGCAAGTGTCGAAACTTTTTGTAGTTGGTGACTCACGATTCACATCGGAGACAAACTCGCCCGTGAGCCCTCCATCTTGCAGTTTAATGTCTTTGTCTTTTGGCATTACCTTGAGGTCCCGACGGTCAATTAAGTTTTAGGGTGTAGATACCACTGAAAAAAAGTTTACAAGACGCCTTTATTAATTCTGACTTGTATGAAAAGTCCAATAGACAACATTTAAAACAAATATAAGGTTCTTATTAACATTCAAAACCAACTACAAATACATACAATAGGGAATAACAAAAGGAGACCTGTATTTAAAGTCTGTACCAAGGAAATCCATCCATTCATCCATATTTTCACCACTTTTTTCTAATTGGAGTCATAGAGAGTCAGAGCCTATCCCAGCAAGCCATGGGTGCAAGGCAGGCTACACCCCGGACAGGACGCCAGTTCGTCACAGAACACACGGACACACACCCGATTTCCCAGGTGCCGATCTTTGAACTGTGGGAAGAACCTGGAGCCCCCACAGGAAACCCACACAGGCACAGGGAGAACATGCAAACTCCACACAGACCGTACCCCAGGAGTGGAATTATTCCCAGGGCCAGAGCACTGCTGACCGCTGTGCCACCGTACTGCCGGGTTCAAATCTCTTTTTGCACGATTTCTTGCATGTAGTACCATGACTCCCAAGTTTCACCATGAGGGATCTTTCGAGCTCTCCTCTCATTCTTCACCTAGGAAAAGGAACCAAAATTTGGGGATCTCTGCCATTTGGGGGTGTTATCTTTGGACAAGAGATAGTCAAGGTCAGTTTAGGAGCTGATGGTGTCTCTTCTTTTTCTTCACTGTTTTAACAGTCCTTGTTTGAAAGTGGCAATGCTGCCTTCTGAAACTGTACTGAAGAAGAAACCCCAGATAGGTGTGTTGTGTGTTGGGCTCAGAAAGCCGGGCCAGGGTCCTAACATCTAGCCATGAAGGAGGCCAGTGTGGCTCAGTT